CCGCAAACTCTTTAAAACTCAGTCCCTGGAAAGTAGGCAACGCTTTTAGTGCTCTGAATTTGCTCACGCATTAAACGGTTTAACAAGCAATTAACACGTAGCTGCCGCACATATGTGTTGGTGTGAGTGTGCATACGCACTTGTTGTCGTACGTGTTAATAAAACTAATTTGATTAGCTAACTAGTGTAAGTAGCGGTTTCCACTTGTCTGTTTGCCTACGCCAGCCACTAAAACTGAAAACCGCCTCCCACTTTAACCCTCCGCCGAACGTCCTGTGTGCTCTGCGATGCCTAAAACAACAAGCGGCTGTGTTTTGGTGGGCTTTCTGGGGTTAAGGATGGAGTGGGCGTGTGTGTCGCACACGTTTGGCATTAATTTAATCCTTCCACAGAATAAAGTGATATCGCCACTAACAAGGCAAACACATTAAATATTTATGCAGACATCAGCATACTCACACACACACACACAAGAGTACATGTGTGTGGGAAATTAGTCCTTTAAGGCTCGCATGTGTGTGTGAGACTTTTAATTGCTGTCGTCAAAGGCTGAGGTAAGAATAATTGCAAGATTGGGAATAATGTGTCAAGTTGGGAGATGTGAGGCGGTGGCTGATTACATCAAAGAGCGGCACACACAGATACTCTCGCAGACAGTCGCACTTTGAAGTGTCAACAGGCAAAGGACGAAGCCAAAGGAGGCGACGGAACAACAACAACGCCGTTATCCATCATGGGATCTTTCACTTTTGTCAGCGAAATAACAATGGCCTCTTAATTACACCAGTGTGTGTCGCTCTCCTTCTCTGTGTGGGTATTTGTTGTGGGATTGGGTGTAGGATATTAAACACTGAGCGAAACTCAAGTAAGGTGGTCTTTACATAACATAAATCATGTAAAAAAAAATAAGGGGAAAGATATTACAAATTATTTAAAGTGGCTTACGCCCAGCTATTTGTTTTTAATTGTTATTTTTTATTTCTTATTTTTATTTTTCTACCTAATTTTCTCCCAGTGCAACATGCAGGCATGTGCTCGTGTTTGTTTAGTCAGATGTTTGCTTGACACTTTCCTTTGGCTCCGCCTTTGCTCGGCGGCTTTTCCTTTTGGCCAGCACTTGTTGGCAAGTTTTCTTTCGGCCTTTTTGTCGTCGGCTGCCGTTTCTTTCTATTCCTCGTCTGCCTTTGACTTTGACTTCGCCCGGTTTGGTATAATGAGCACACATCTCGGCGGAGAGCCGCATGTGAGGATCCTCCGACAGGATGTTAATTTCAATTTAAATGCCGGCCAGCTCCTTGCGAGCTCAGCAAGTCCTTCGGCCGCGGGCGAATGTCTCAAGCAACTTTGTCCGGCTTGGGTCAACTTCCTTGGCTCACTTTTGACTGGCGCCTTTGACCTGCTGCGATTGCATTGACCAGAAGCCGAGGGCCTGCGGCCTTGGCCTGTGAACTTTAATTGGATTCTTTGTGCGGAGCAGCAGCAGCAGTGGACTGCTCCCAGTTGAAATGAATTCATTTCGTGTGTTGACTCAATTTGGCTTCCTGGAAGCAATCCCAGTGCCGAACTTCGGCCACTCATTTGGCTAATTAAAACGGCATGAGCAAACAGAAGAAGCTCATCCATTTACATTTATGAATTATCGGTTCGAATATAGCACACCGTCATAGCAAGCCCCTCCCCCGCCGCCGCCCCTCTGACAGCTCATAATTCACACATCGAACTTTGGGTTACGGGCCAAATCTTGGAGCAGCCGCGGAAATCACGTACAGCCAGGACGAAAGTTGCCGGATCCTCGGCATTATTGTCTTTTGAGCTAACCCAGTTCTCCACTTCTCCCCCTCCCCATCGACCGCAACAGCTAATTAACGTTAATTTATTAAATCAGTGAGCAAGTAAAGGCATCCCAGCAACTTTCCCTCGAACGGCGGACTGCGGAGTGGGGAAACTCAGCGCCAAGAGCTGCCAGAGATAAAAGTTGCACACGACTCGGCTTGGATCCGAGCTCGGGCTTAAGCACTTTGGGTTTTTTCGTACCGAGAAGTTGAGGAATGCGGGGTATACTCTTGATAATACTATTTTATTTTGAAATTCAATTGTAAGATAATCGTCTACATAAGGGTACATTTTTTAAATAGCTGCCTGCCCCAATTTACTCTTCAATTTTTCCATAAGTTTCATATTATATGACAGAAGAACATGGCTATGGAAAATATATACAATTTTACTTTTAACAATTTTTAGTAACTGATATTATATTAGGTAGGTATCTCTTAGTCGATAAACTCCGCAGAGCACATTCTTACTTGTCTTAGCTGGAAAAGCATGAAAACCACACGCAGCAATTATTAATTCAATTATTTTAGCGCAAACAGCCACCTCAGACTAGGAGCGAGAATCCAAGAAAGCGGGAAGCTGAGAGTCCTGCAGGACCAAGACACAGAAAGCTGCGTGGCATAAATGAGTTCTCTGTTCTGTGTGAGTGGATGAAATAGAGTAGCACAAACACAATTAAGACAGCGGGGACTGCGGATTGGGGGAACGAGGACGGAAAGGCGAGCAAATAAAGTGGCAAATTTAATTAGGAATCAGCAGAGAAGGCAGAAGTGCAGCTCTCCAGTCGGGGAATACCTGATGATAACCCACATCAGCTGCCGGACATGTGAATTAACAACAGCGTCCGTTTCCGGTCGAAAAATGGAGCCCACTCGCAGGGGGAAGTGAGATCGGGTGGCGGGGGATTATAATAATAATATTAATAATGAGTGGCCAAAAAGCAGACGGCGGGCAGTGTGTCCGTTACAACTTCCGGAATGAAGTTGCCCGTTTTATTGTCGCACGAAAAGTTTCCCCCGGGGCGAAAATAAAGCGATGCCGAATGTAGGTAAATTGTAAAATGCAAAAGTTTCCCAAGTTGAAGTCACCTGCTCGGGTTCCCAAACTACTGGGTGAGGATGGAGGGGGGAATCGAAACAAAGTCCCTTTTGTTTCAATCCACGTCCAGGACAATTGGCCAAGATCCAGACAGGAAGCCCAGGACGGGGGCCGAAGCTCATCAGGCATCAAGGTATAATTTGGCCGGGGACTATTTCATTTTACGGCCAAAGTGGCGCATTTGCATAAAGTTTTATTTTCTTTGACCCGCACTTGGGGATTTCTTTGACTTGTCCTTTTCCTGCCTGATTTCCATTTCGTCTACTTTGTCGCCAGGAAGTGATTTCCTGCAGCTGCAGCTATTGAAATTCAATATCTTTGCCGCGGAGGGTGGTGAAAGGTCCCCGGGGGGAGTGGGGGCGCTCCTTAAAGCCGTGGATCAGCTTTAACAAGTGTTTGCACCACACGTCGCAACACCACACATCAGTCAGCACCGAAGCACCGTATCCTTGGGAGGTAATTTGAAAATCAAACAAGCAGCGAGCGACTCCCTCGCAAATCCTTTCAATTGCTGCAATTTACTGGATAAATAGGATCAAAATCGAATTTAAATGGCAAACAAATTTTTCCTGATTTCGATTTTGTTGACAGAACTTTTCACTTGTGCTGCTGAATAAGCAGATTATGCGACAAGGGTTGTCTACCAGATATACTCGCATCGCACACCTCCAGCCCACAAGGGGTAAACAGATCCCCACCTTTTATGTGAGGAAATGTAGCCAACTCCGAGCGCTTTTTTAAACGCCTCAGAAATATTTTAATTAAATTTCGCATTCGCACTCGAACGGTTATCCCTGCGGCAGGCAAAACTATTTACGTGCCCGAAACAAAAGTGAAATCATTCGATTTTATTTATTTTCACTCGAAACTGAAAACTTTTCCCGCTCCCCAGTTTCCCCCTGAAAAGAAAACTTGCGCAAAAAGGCAACCGAAAACTTTTGGAGAAAACTTTCTTGGCTCTCTCCTCTTCCACAAACATAAACAAGATTAATTTCACATGTTTTCAGGGTGGAGTGGCTCCTTGGGTGGGGGACGAAGGAGCTGCTCGAGTTATTACTTTGATTATGTTTATTCTAGTCATGAAATCCGAATGCCCGTTTCATGTGCACTTCATTTAATAAACCCACGCCAAGTGAAAGCGCGAAATGATTTCTGTGGCATTTTTGTCTACTCGTGCAAGTTTTCCTCACTTTGTGTGATTAGCCAAGTGAAAAAACAAGAGATAGGCAACTACTTCCAACTTCATTTGCCTGCGGATAATTCGCGGGAGAGGGGCTTCCATACTTCATTACTTATTCGTTTTCGAATTAAATGAGGTGCGATGGAATGTCGCCCTCAATTTGTTTTCATTATAAATTTAGTTAGATCCAAGCTGTGAAGAGTGGGGAGGAAGTCCAAGGTGAGGTTCTTCAATACAGCCACTTATCTGAACGCAGTCTGCGATCTTTCCACTATCTGCCAATTGCTCGGCAAATTTGGCCATCATCCAATGCGTTTTCATATCTAAATCTCTGGTGCCTCAGTCCGAGCGATCGGTGGCGACTCTTAAGTGCTTTTAATTACGTCCACTTAAGCCTCAATATCGCCAGCTTCCGAAGCGCGCAAATCACAGAGAACCACACGCGTCGCAGGAAGCAGAAACCTCCTCTCCAACGCTCGGCGCACTCTAAATAAAGCATAAAAATTTATGAAATTTTAATTTTTACACTTAATAACACGCCGAGTTATGGGCGCGTCGGGTGAAACGGGCCGAGCGAATTGGCCGGGAAGAGCGGGCCGGAGTGGATGAGAAATGGCCCGGGGACTTTCTTATAGAGACATCAATGTGAGACGCCCGGGCAGGTGGCCAAACCTCCGGGAGTGGCACGAATGCGGTGCAACTTGTGTGGCAACGCAGACGTTGGGCGCAATTAGAGACGCCCGATGCCCGCTATATTTGGCCACCGGCGGACTCGCGGATTATGCCATAATTTTAGGGGTCTCGCCTTCAAACTGGAACAGGCAACTTAAGACATCAAGTACGTGTAACTCTACTTCCAGGTAGGTACCAAATAAAAAAGTACAGTATATTATATTTTATGAAGGTATTATTCGGTATTATAAAAATAAAAGACCAGGGGGCACAGACCACAGAAATACATACAGACAGATACACACCGACTCCTGCCACACCCAAAAACTAAAAATGAATACATTTATTGCCCGAGCTGAAAGTGCCAATGCTTTCAGTCCGAAATGCTCTGACCAAGAATTTTCAACTTCAACTGAAAGAGGAGAATTGAAAATTCTTGCCAGAAGATTGGTGAATATGTTTGCCCGTCTGTTTCTGTTCCCCTCCGTTTTTCTGTCAGTGCATTCGCGGCTCAACGATTCAATTTTGACATTCATATTTGGACACGATTGGATTCACTGGAGATCGGTGTCCATCCCCAAGAACCTTTCCACGAACTGGGGATCATCCGCGCCTTCCACGGCGAGGTTCAGTTCGTGCAACATCTGGGTGACGAGTCTCTGATGCTCCTGTTGCATCTCGGCCTGCATCCGCCGGTTCTCCTCCGCCTGCTGGAGGAACAGCTTCTTGAAGCGGTTTTTCTGGATCTGCAGCTCGCTTTCCCCGCATCCTGGTCTTCTGTTGGCCGCCACTGGGGTCCTGATGATTTTCGGCACATTCAAGTGGGCGGTGGTTGGGGGTTTCGTGGGAGGCTTCTTCTTCGGAGTCGGAGCCTCCTTTTTCCTGACCTGATTGGCGCGTTTTGGAGCCGCTTTGGCTTCGAAATTTGGAATGATAGGCATCTGGATGGGAATGAGCCTGGGAATCCTGCTGGGCAATCTTTCGCCTGTCACGGAGTCCTTCGACGGTCGCCTTCGAGCTCTGCAGATATTCGTTTCGCTTTTGAGAGCCACGGTGAGCTCGATCATGGGACTCGGCAGCAGGTTCCTTCGCCACAGCTGGTGGTGCAGCCTGAGGGAATCCGGGTTCGTGGTGCTGCGCTGCAGAGGTTCCACCGCCTTCTCTTTTCTCTCCGGACTCTTGATCTGAAGCGGATCCAGTCTCGATACCGATCCACTCTCCGAGGTGGCCAGCTTCACAGGAGCAACCCTGATCACAGCTCGCTGAGGGGGCATCATTTGGGGATCCTCCATTACCAGTTGAGAGAGCTTCATGATGGGAACATTCTGGGGGGCAGAGATCTGCGTTATCAAGTCGGCGGTGTGGTCGTAGATCAAGGTCTTCGATTGCACCAACTTGTGGCGAAGGTTTCCCATCACGACTAAGTTCGCAGATCGCAGGGGCTCTTCTGTATTGGTTTCGGCATTCCTGCGCTCTACTTGTCTGTCCAACTTGTCCCTCTTCAGGATTGCTTCTCGGGTCAAGGCGCACAAGCGTAGACGCATCATTTCCAGGCGCTTCAAGTCATTCATCTGTACTGGGCATTAAGTAAGAAAAACATTATCCTGGAAAATCTCAACATACCACAGGCGGCAGAATGGGCTTTCCAGACAGGCAGTAACCCGACTCGAATTCACCTACTCCAATGCTTTCCAGAGTACATTGCAGGATCAGCTGTTCAGCTTCCTTGTCCATTTGCAGCGAATTTCGTGAAGAAATTTCAGGTATCGAAAATTATGTGTGTTCTATATGGGGAATATTTTCAGGAATTTATTTGTTGTGTTATGTGTAGAGTGAAGGAATTGAATGGAATGTGAGCTGAGTCAACAATGGCTGACAGTTGTGGAGCGAGTTTGTTTGCTTGGAATGCTTTTCCACTCACGGAGGTTGTACAACCACACTGGGAAAAATTGAATGGCGTTACTAATTTATTTAGCTTAGATATTTATTGTTTAATCAATGTTGGATATCTGCTGTTTAGGTTAAGCAAAACACATATGTTTCTTGTTTAGTTACTTTAGTTTGAATCCCTTCAATTTCATTGTTCTTCTTGTTTTTCCGAGTGTAACACACATGCGATCCGTCCGTTCTTTGTTCCGTTCCCAATCCGGACGGAGAGTCTGACAAATGCCTCGCCCGTCGCCGGAGCGTGCCGCAAAAGGTACGGGCAGTCGAGCGTGGAGCGGCAAACAAGGAGCCCAAATAGAGTCCACTCTATTACCGGCAGGACTCAGGTCCTGTCCTGTCCTTATATATTTGGGCGGACCGTCTGGAAATTTGTCTTGGGCCCTTGTAGGTGTGATTTGTTTTTTAAATTTCGGGCTGCCTTCGGAGTTCCTGGACCTCCGGCGCTGGCCAATTTGTCTCCCCAGTTGGCTGACTTTTTATTTGCAACGGAGTCACGTAGCACTTTCACTTGCATGCTTGCGACATGCGGCAATTTTCCACTAAATTTGCCATGTCAAACATATTTGGACGAACCGGCTGCCCCGGCTCATAAAGAATTCAAATTAATACATTAACAGCTTCAGATAAGCGACCTTCGGGGAGAAGGTGGGTGGTAGTCCGCCGCCAGGTAATAAACGCCGCGTTGTTCGTTGTTCGTGCCAAAGTCTCGGAAGTTTTGCGCCAAGGCAATTTGCCTCAAGTGGCAATTCGGGAGCGTGCCAAGTGCCTTGGTAACGGTAACAGCCCACGGATTACAAAAACACGTCGGCGGGTGGGCGCAAGTGGGCTGGGGGCGGGGCTCTCTACGGTTAACCGCCGCACCACAAAAGGTATTTATCTCATTGTGCGCAGATTAAGAGCTGCTCTCAAATTAGGTGAGTGTCGTCACGTGACGCAAGACGAGATCTAGATAGAGACGTGGTTGAAAGGAGGAAAGGTGGAAGGAATGTTGAAGGAAGTTTCAGCAGGGCCCTACTCTTGATTTATAAAGATGTCAGCGTTTAACACTTTAACATTAAGGCCTTTTGGATGGGCTTTAATTTGTACTAAAAATACTCACTAGTGATTTGTTATGCGCGTTAAAGTCTTAAAAAAGTAACTAGATTGAAGTAGTTATCCAATGATTCCAAGCGAGCCCAGCTGGAGTCCTTATCCCTCTGTGGTTATGCAAAGCTTAACCCCTTAAAGGCTCTGTCCTCGTGCAAAAAGCATGCCAGACCTCGCTCCGGTTACACTTCATAAATCCAGAGAATTATGAGCCGTGACCCAGACGGAAGCGGAATGCAACCGCAATGGCAACACGTCCGTCGCCAAGTGGCCAGGACACAATGGGCTTCGGGGGAAAGAGGCCGACAGGTAATAACGGTTGCACGATTGGTTGGCCCCGACGATTCCTGTTGAATTTACAACCGCAGGGGACGGGGTCTGCCCCCCGTATTGTGTTGCAGCCACACTTTTTATTTTATATCCCCGTTTTACGGACAATCGATGAAGGTTGAGCATTGATTTCCGCTGATTCCGAAGGAAAGTTCAAGAGGCAAAGGCTGAAGTTCAAAGCTTTGGAAGGCGCTTTAATTGAGTTGCCACGGGTTCATGCATATGCAGGGCTCAATTAAAAGTGCGCCAAGAAAAACCAAGAATCGAGAAAGACAAACACAGGCGGAGGAAAACTCCTCGGAGGGGTGGAAAATGTCTGCAAGTGACTCAAGTCGAGTCTCCTGTCTGTTGACATTTCGCGGTATGGAAAAAATTAAATTAAAATGCAAATTAGGCATTCCCGAGGAGTCTGGCCTGCAGTCTGCGATTCCCCTTTTTCGTCCTTATTTTCCTACTTGCCGTCTCGGGCAAAAGTGACAAATTGTTGTAAACACAGCGAGTTACGTATACGCCTCGTGGGACCTCTCCTGTCACCTACGAAAAAGGGGCTCCAAGGGACAAAAGGGGGACCCTTACCTATTGTATACATATTTTAACTCAGCCAAGAAGTCCCGACTTAGGGCAAAGACGGATGTTTTTATTTCCGCGCCTTGCGTCGTCCTTCTTTCTGCGGTAAATTATGCAAAGTAGTTGCGTAATGCTCTTGTTACAATAATTTAATCTTGTAATCTGTTTCTGTTCGACTCCCGGCAAGTGCCATAAATAATTCAGCTGGCCTGCTGCAGATGCCGAAAGAAATATCCTTGAAGGAATCTTTGCATTTTTAATTTCAAGGTAAACAAGCGCAGATAACTTCGCCGCCAGAAACGGAATCCTAATGAGCCTCCTCTCAAGGTGACTCCACTGCCTTGGTTCTCCGCATTGACATTTCAGCGGGGCTGAGCAAGTTAATTCAATTTCCGCAAGCTGAAACAAAAATAAAAGAAGAAGGCACAAAGTTTATCCAGGCAACCCTTTTTTTCGATTCCCCGTCGAGGGGGATGAGCCACTAACGAACCCCATTTGTGGCTGGCTAATTATGCGATGAGCATCCTTTCAAGAGCTCTTTAAGGAGCACAGGTTAATCTTTATGCTCGCAAGAAAGATATTTAAAAATTTATAAGACGTTTCCTTTTTATTCTTTAAGATATATCCCTTCGAATTTAGATACCTTTTATATTTCCAGCTAATTACCAGTCTCTCATCACTTAAAAAAAGCTCTTTAAGGATCCCATGTCAGGCCATAAATCAGCTGTCACAAAATGTAAATCCACCGGCAAAAAGAAATCGCAGACAACATAAAATTTCAATAACATTCCCGGCGTGTCTTGTCCTTTGGCACAAGGTGCGCGGAGGACACACAGTTACACATCCCGAAGCAATAAGGATACGTTTTTTGGGAGGAAGGAGCCGGGATCCGGGAGCCGGGAACCGGGATCCAGGCGGAAGCAATACACGTTGACACGTCGCAAGGATACAAAATGTGGCGCTGTTAGTTCCGCAGTTTCGCAGGAGACAAAGGACATCGGCGTAATGTAACGGAAACTCTATTGAATTGCGATAAAAATCGCGTTTGCCAGCGAGCACCCTTTGAACCGCCCAGCCTCCCTTCCTCCCCTTCGTCCTTCGTCCTTGGGCTGCAGCAGACACAGGTTTAGCTGTTTTAAAGCATACTTTGCGGCTTGTCAACAGGCGGCAAAATTTATTGCAAATGTACGCCAAAGAGTTGCACGAAGTAAGAGAAGTTTCTATAGCCAGTCGGGTGGTGAGACTTTACAGATGGTCTTGGAAAATATTATAAAATGCACGAGATAATTTTTTTTGAAAGTATAGAGGGTATTAATAGTATTAAATTGTACGTTCTGTACTTGAACATTTGTTAACAATTAAAATGTTTAGTATTCAAGTTACTGGCATCATTAATTACATTTGCAAAATTAAATCTCGAATACAGAGAGTGTAGAAAAAGTACAACCAAAAGTCGATGTCCTTCAAGTGGCCTTCCGCCTTCAACTCGGAATGCTCTTCCTGCTGACAATGTTATCGTTACGGTTATTGATTGAAATTTTTTACACTTTGCTTGTTGCCACATTTCCTTCCCCTTAACCCCTTGTCACCCCGGAGTAGTGACATTTGGCGACGGCAGCCAAGGGTTAAAAGAAGGCGACAGCTGTTGCCTCAGCTTCTGGTCTTGTAGTCATTCGGTTTTTGTCTGATTTGAGGAGCAGAGAGACACCCAAGGAGCAGCCATCATCTGGGGCAGGTATTCCAGGGATATTTCCCCTTTGGGTACATCTGGCTCCGCTCCGGCTTACACGCACATCCTGTCACTCGCAGGACCTTCGCCAAAGGACCATTCACATCACCTACACAATGAGTGCGGAGACGCACAATGGCCACATCAATTGTGCATTTCATTTAACTTGCCACGCCCGTGTGACTTTTAAGTGTTGCCCTATGTGGACCGCCCCCGAACCCCCTGAAAACCCCCCCGCTGCCCCCTCATCGTGCGACTCCCCGAGTGCTGGACATGACAGCTTCTGCATGAGCAACTCGCTCTCCAAATGCCCCTATGGCAAACATGTTGCTGCCAAAAGGCCGAAAGCCAAGGCCCGTTGTCTGTAGGTTTTTAGGTGTGTTTAGGTATTATCTTGCGCTGGGTGGGGGGTAAATGCCACGGGGTGGTGCTGGTGGCGAGCATGTGGCATTTGGAAACACCCACCCACCCAACGAACCACCGCCCACAGCAAACTTTGTGTGCGTTTGTGTCATTGTTAAATTTTGCGCTCGAACGATCTGCAACGGATGACATCCGTATGGCAGGCAAGTTACTTTTTGATTTACAGTATGCTACTTTTTGTACCTTTTACTTGGGGAGAGCCTTGGGTATATTGTTTTTGGGGAGACCCATCAGCAATACTTTAATAAATAACTTCCTTAAAAAATGTATTGGGAGGTTTCTTGTATAGTTGATTTGATTTAACTAATAACATTATAAAAAAAACATTAGATATTTGATTTTGAAACCAGTTTAACAATCCATTTAAAGCACATATAACATTTTTATTAATGACAACCGAGGTATCTGGGTAGTGGGTATCACAATGTCTGCGAAGAGCTCTCTAAATTTCTAACTTGTTGTTCATCAAACGCCTGGCTGCCCCGCCTGACCTCTGACCCCGAACCAGCTTCCTGACTCCGCAAGCCCAGTCCCGAAAAGTCGTCCTGTCCAAGGTGCAGCACAGGTTGTCACAAGTCGCCCGCCTGTCGTTTGTTGGTTGTTCGTTGTCGGTTGTTGGCTGTCGTTAGCATTTGGTTTAAATTGCGCAAAATGCGTGTAATTGCTGGAACTGACGATTGAATGAGCCCGTGTATTAGGAGGAGTTGCAGACCGAGATGGCAGATGGAAGCCGGTCCAGTAGAGATTTAAAGTTTCTGATTTGATTTGGCTCTGAGCCC